ACTGATATGGATCCGATTGTCAAGAATGAGACATCAGTTGACGGTGCCATCAAGTGGAGTATTTGGCTGAAATTGTTTACTTCACCACCCTTACGGGGGTTCGGTTTTCTTCTGATGATTATTCTTATGCTCGTTAATGAAGCTTCGTACGACTTTGCAAATAGGTGGCTGGCTCTATGGTCTAGTAAAGATGAAAGAGAACAACAATCATCATTTTATGCTCGTGTCTATCTCGGAGTTGTATGTTCTATATTAATCGTCGCAGTAATACGTACTGGCTATATCTTCTATATTATGTTATGTGGTTCGACCGATTTTCACAATCAAATGCTCAAAGGGATCTTGTATACTTCGTTACGTTTCTTTGAAAGCAATCCAAGTGGACGAATCTTGAATCGAGCTAGCAAAGATCAACAAGTGTTAGACCAATCGTTACCTCTGGCTTTAATTGATACTATGCAATATTTACTAATGACTCTCGGTTCTATCATAATCATTGGAATAACTAACCCATGGGTACTTCTAATTCTCATTCCTTTAGTTCCCATAGTTTTGTGGCTTCGTAGATTTTACATGCGTTCGAGTCGTCAACTCAAACGACTCGAAAGTGCAACGCGTAGTCCAGTTTATACATTGTTCTCGTCGTCACTAGAGGGACTCACTAGTATTCGTGCGTTTGATGTTCAAGGCGATTTTTTGAATATGTTCATGGAAAGAATTGATACTAATTCACGTGCTTACTTCATTCTCTTGGCCACTGTACGTTGGTTCGGCTTACGGCTCGATTTTTTAGCATCCTTACTCACTTTGGTTACCGCTATTCTTGCAGTAGCATTGCGCCATCAAATCGATCCATCGGCAGCAGCACTCAGTATCAACTATTGTATCACTTTAACAGGTCTGTTTCAATGGTGTATACGACAATCAGCCGAAGCTGAAAATTTCATGACCAGTGCAGAACGTATTCATGAATATGGTCAACTGATGCCAGAAAGCCATCGAAACAGTAACGAAAGCGGTGCACTCGTTCAACCGGCAGATGATTGGCCTTCTCGTGGTATTATCGAATTTAAAGACTACACTTTTCGCTATCGTCCAGAGCTCGATCCTGTACTCAAAAATCTTAATCTGCGAATTGAGTCCAAGGAAAAGATTGGCGTTATTGGTCGAACAGGTATAATTACTTCATTTCTCGAAATATACATGAAGAGAATTCTTAATGAAGAGACAGGATATTGGTCAAAAACGGATATGTAGATATAGACAGAAGAAAGATACTGTTGTTGATGCTTTCTCCTACAATCAAAAATCCATGATTGAACCTTTCTCAGCCAGTGTAAATATTTCGAATTCTATACCTAGACATTATGAGATTTCTCTTTGATGCAAAGTCGAGTAGGATCGAGTGAATAGAGACGGATCCAAAGAGATAACTGCAAAAAGACCCACGTACTACGCCATTATGAATCACCATTCTTGATGAAACATGAATATCAATATAGGATAGAAGACGCTAGAACATAGCCTCGGTGAAGATTCAAGGAAGTGGCAAATTTTCTTTACCAGAATACATTTCCCAATGCTTCCAGGAATACAGAGCTCGGTAGTAACCAATACATAGTTTAGCTAACTCGAGGTTATATTATGTAATGCATGTGAACAACTCTGGTCTAGTGGTTTTTACTCGTTTATACTATATCATATCATGGAATGAGTGAAACACGAGCAATTAAATAGTAGGTATACACTATATGAGACTAATTCTATCAGTAACTGATTTCAAACGTTGAGTTAAAGCGATCCATTGATGAGGAACTATATTTTTCGAATGGAGCATTTCACCAGTTTTTGATTCATGTGCACTGACGATGCACAGTGTACTCCCAAAGGATCTGGAGTATCGGAATGTGTGATTACCCTCTTGGTGACATTACTTTATCAGTGTCTGTTTTTCGTCTAGGTGCCGGAAAGTCATCACTTCTTCAAGCTCTCTTTCGACTTGTCGATCAGTCAGCAATCAACGGAATTATACTCATTGACGGCATCGATATTGGACGTCTTTCACTCGATCATCTTCGTTCTCATCTAAGTGTTATTCCACAAGTACCCATACTCTTCTGTGGTACACTTCGATACAATATTGATCCATTCGAACAATTCTCAGATGAAGAATGTCTTACAGCACTTGAAGCTGTTCAACTTAAACGAATGGTGCGCAACCATCCCGATGGACTCCATCTGTTGGTAGCTGAATCGGGTACTAATTTGAGTGCTGGTGAGCGCCAACTGGTTTGTGTAGCTCGAGCTATTCTGAAGAAGAGCTATATATTGCTGATTGATGAAGCTACAGCAAATGTTGATCATACCACCGATAGGTTGATTCAAGAGGTGATTGCCGACAAGTTTCGTGATCGCACGATATTGACGATTGCACATCGATTGAACACTGTTGCTAATAGTGATCGGATTCTTATGTTACAACAAGGAGAGATTGCCTACTTCGATGTGCCCAGTAAACTTAACCTGATGTAATACTATTTGAAAGTGTACGAGTCAAATCAACTAACTATATCAATAGTTGATATGCTTAATTAAATATAAAAGGTTCAATAAAAAGGATTATAAGACAGGCACAGGAATCGAATTTTCATATACTTAGGTGTATTCAAAACTAATGTCGGAAGTATTTTATTTCCTTATATAAAAGGGTCAAAAAAAATTCTTTTTTCATTAAATGATAGAGCAAATGAAGCTCTATTTTTCTATAATATTTCATCACTATCCAACTAGTATTATACTAATAATATTTCAAGCAGAACTATCTTTGTATGAAACATAACTTTCGTATTATGCGAGGGTGAGGATGTGGGTGTTTATCGTCTCTTCACTCACACCCACACCCACACCCGCTTTGAAAATCAAGCATTACTTACAGTAGCCATAAATTTTAGCAATGACCCATCATTTGACCATTATTATGGATACAAGCTAGATGACTGGCATTACGTTGTTTGCTCATGTCAACGGTCAACGAGCCACTTAAATATTAATAGGATAATAAATTGGAGTTTTTTCTGTCAACATATTATTTACCTAAAATTATATATATAAGTGATTTGCGTTAAGGTAATACTATTTCAATGAAGTTTTCTCGATCAGGAAAGATCCATTTTTCGAAGATAACAATTTTTTTAAAAACCTACTTAGAGTATCAGAGTTTGAGCTGTCAGGCCTCTCAAAATATAAATTCAAGACTTTGAAATTCATACAGAAAATCGGATCTTTCCGATCCTCACATCTTTTGCTCAAGCTCTATGAGAGTATCGTTATTTTCAGAAAATAGACATTTTCTAACATAAAAAAAAAGTTGAATGAAGGTGTATTACTCTCATGCTAACCATTTATTCTCTTCACTTTAAATAGTTAATGTGTTAACAGAAACAATTAAACTAAATATTAAAGTTTCCTCTCCTAATGATTGATTTTGGGCAACGAATATTCAAATTGTACAGGGATGAGGGTGTGAGTGTGTGGATGTGAGATGCGGATGTGGCTGTGGGTGTAAGTCTTCCCTTCATACCCACACTCACCCACACTCTATACTCTAGTTTTTTAAGTTAATTTTTCTTTCATGTACACTTAATATGCCTAATGTGCATCTCTTATGTCCATCATGATCCTAATTCTTGGCTTGATCCAGAAAAATTCATACGTGAAAGGTAAAACTTAAAATCATCAGAGCTTTTTGTATAAACTAATACTGTTCGGTAGATTTTTGCCAACAGAAAAAGCAAACCGGCATCCAATGACATTTCTTCCTTTTCGTGATGGACCTCGGTAAGCAGAACAATATTTAATTTTTTTCATATTAACTAAGTGTGTATTAAATATTAATACTTAGTAATTGTATTGGAATGCGATTTGCTTTGTTAGAAGCTAAACTTGGCATTGCTAAAGCACTTCGCGTCGTGGAATTTCAGAAATGTGAAAAAACCGAAATAAGTAATAATGCCATTCATATTATCGTTTCATCATCGTTTATTATCTCTAGGTTCCACTTCTATTGGGAAAATTAGGAATTCTAAATGCCAAAAATAGTATTTGGCTACGTATTGTTCGTCGATCAGAATAAATCATACACAAACGACTTGCTTCTTGTTTTACTAGTAGTATTGAGTGTTTTTTTTGTTTATTCTGTATATCTACTTCGTGAAAAGAAATCTATAGTTCCGAAAGAAATAATTTATGAAACTGAACGATGACAAATTCGTTGTATTTAATAATATTTTTTTATTTCTTCAAGTATACACTCACTTGTATAAATGATTTTTATTAATAATAAAATAATAATACAGATAGACGTTTAAATATTGAAATCAATCAATATAATACACATCATCTAGTAATATAATCAATCTGCAGTTCTTTGTTGTTCAGTCTTCTGTAAATAGTATGTTAGTAGTGAATTCGATTTGTTTACATGTAGATTTGTTGAATTGTCATATTTTGCCTTGCTACAGAAATAAAGATGGATAAAAGGAGAGTATAAAAGCCCATAAAAGATTAATATTTTATTCAACATTACAAATAGACAAGTGACGTGGTAAGCAGGGTTGCCAGATCGAAAAATTAAAAATCGGAAAATCTACTTGTCGAAATCGGAAAAATCGGAAAAAATTTTTTTGAAATCGGAAAAAATCGGAGAGTGTTTTTTTCATGCTTAAATACATAAAATTTGTTTTACATCAATAGAATTTACTTGACCTCTTTCATTTAGTTTTTCAAACATCATCTTGAAGCATATTTCATTCCAAAAAAAATAAAAAAATAACAATATACTTTTGGTTGAGTAATTTCGAAAAACACTAGCATAAGTAGCATATCTAAGTACTCACTTTTTTTTACAAAAACAATATGAGAATTAACTTGACCAAAAAAGTAGAAAAACGAGCGTAAGTATATATATACACCTCATTAAAATGTATGTAAAAAAGCAAAGTTCATTCAATATTACGACGTTTCTTTTGTTGATATTTTTCATTTGTTCGAATTTTGTTCAATATATCAGGTTGAGATAAAAGATATTTATACATATATGCACAAGGATAATCAGAATTCATTCTTATTTTCAACTCAGCATCAACTAATTCGATATCCATACGATTCCGATAATCAGACCATGCATGTTTCATATGACTAAAAATTGTTTCTACATATGCATTTGTACAAGGAATCGAAAATATATAACATATAATTTTTTTCATATTTGGTGTTGAATTTGGATTGATATTCAGTAAATAAGACCAGAAGTGATCGGATCGTACATATTCATCTTTCTTCTGATTTTTGTGTACTAATTCAACTTCTTCATCATTATTATCATATAAACTATCTGAATTATCATTTACTGTTGATATTGGAACATAGTCTTTCTTACTTGAGATATACGACTTGATTTGATCACTTAATTTAATATCTGTTTTTATTAAATTGTCGTATAAAACTCTGATTTCACAATATTCACTATACAATTCATCTTTATTCAAATCATTTACTTTAATTAAATCAGCAACATCCATAAGACGTTCCCATGCAAGAAATTCAAGTGATTGATAACTAAAAAATGATAATTTTTCATAAAACTGTCTTGTATCATCATCATAATAAGATTTAATATATTCAATAACAGTTTTAATAAATGATTCAAATGATTGTTTCAATTCTTCCGCTTTATTTGCATCAATTTCCTGTAATTGTTTCAATATTTCGTGTGTAGTATTACCGAAATATTTATCATGTAATCTTTGTTGTAATTTTTTAACTAAACCACTAATTATACGATGAAGATCAACTGCTGTTGTATATGTACGTTGTAGTTGTAAATCAGCTCGTTGAATTTCATTTAATAGATTTTGTAAAAAATTTAAAATACATAAACCATCAGTACTATCGAAGAAAGACTTTAAGAGTTGTTGATTTTTTATTGTTGTTGGTTGATTTAAAAAATACAATTTTATAGGTTCATATTTTTCAAGTAAACGTTCAACAGAACGCAATAAACTTAACCACCTCGTAAGAATATGCTGCAATAACGTCTAAAAAAATATAATTTTTATGAACTCTGCTCATATCTATTTTCTCGGATATATTCTATTATTACTTACACTATATTCAGATTGTACAAATTCATAATATGCTTTTAATTCTTCGATTCGTTTAGCTGATCTTGAAAAATGGGAATAAATTTTACATAAAACGCTTTCAATGTCAATTGGTAAAACGTCGTGTGCATGTTTAGCTGCATTATGTAATATATGTGCATAACAGTTTCCTAGAATAAAACAAAGTGAATACATATTTTGAACTAAAGTCTATTAAATTCAATATATGATAAACGTTTAAGTATACCTTGTACAATATGTGGTACTTCATTTTTAAATAGTTGAAATACTGAATGATGCTCACCAAAATTTACGTTGGTGTTATCAGCACCAACGCTTGTCAAATTTTCAATTTTTAATTGAAAATCATTTATTATTTTACACGCATTTTGAAATATATCTTCTGCTGTTTCATATGGATCTTCAATGAGCTGAATAAGTGCTAAATGAAAAAAAACATACAGAAGCATAAAGCAAATAGACACTTCCACCTATCTAAAAATAATTACCCCTTTTAACACCAACATCTGAAAAAAATTGTACAGTAAATGGATATGTCTTGCAGTTTCCTTTATTTGAAGAATCATATGATAATGAATAAAAACGTGCTTCTAATACTTCGTCAACTATTTTTTTTGTAAAATATGGTCCAAATACATTACATACAATTGCTCTAGATTTCGTTTTACCACATGATAACGATTTTGCTACTGATGATGATGATTCAAATAGTGTTTTTACCAAATTAGTTCCACATTCTTGTGAAACATAACTGTGTCCATGTTTAACTCCATGGTACACCAACATACCTTCAGCAGCTGAAATTTTATCTGATTCACTTGCCGGAATTGTAAGTGTTGTGATTAATGTAGATTTTTCAAATGTTTTCATTGATGTTTTATGTGCATCACGATTCATATGTTTATCAAGTGCTGTTTTACCATCACAACGAACAGAAAAAGTTTTTGAACAGGCTTTACATCGAGCTTGTGTTGAATCAGTTTTGACTTCTTGTAACCATTTCGAGTATTCTTTCATAGATAACCATTCTTTACGAAAAACACCTTTCTTTTTCTTTTGCATTTGAACAGTAGATGTTAATGTTTTTGTTATAGTTGTTGTTGTTGTTGTTGTTGTTACTGGTTGTTCATTTTCTACATTATCATTTTCACAAATACATATATCTTCCAGCAAATCATCCATAATTCAGTTTTATTATACTTGAAATACAACAAATAAAGCACAACAAAGGAGAAAGTCAAGACACTTCACTTCGATAACGATTTTGTTTATCTAAATAGAAAATTGAATTTTTTGTTAACATAAAACATTGACTTTAGTAAAGAAAGAGTTGCCAGTACACTTAAGCATCTGATAGTAAGTTTACAATTCGGACAAAGAACTACCCAATAATTACATGAAAAGAAAGATGGCACACTCTACATTTAGTAACAGGTTCTAAAGAAAATTTAGACAAATGCTAAAAAAACCTTGAATCTAGAAAAAATTCCTAAAATCAGGAAATCGGAATGAGATCGGAAAAAAGCTCAAAAATCGGAAGAAATCAGAACGTCGGAAAGCTATCGGAAAAAAGTCCAAAAATCGGAACTTTTCCTGCCAAATCGGAAGATCTGGCATCCCTGGTGGTAAGTCTATCTTTCTTATTGCCGATTGCATCATATCATGAATTTTTTAGTGTCATATAACAATGGAATTAAGTTTATTCATAGTTATTATCTACAAGTCGAGTATATATTTCGTCATTTTAGAATGTCTGGTCAAAGAGTGATTCTATTATTTGACGAAAAATTTAACATCACACACAATGTATTGATTTTCAATGCTTTCCTTTAGTAATATACTCTACTAATATTCATATTCATTGAGTAATTATATGCTCACACTATGGATCTTGTTTAAAATTATGATAAAATCATAGAACAATCAAAAACCATTACACAAAAAGCCAAATATTGTTTTGAAATTATGTTAAATCTTTTTCTATATCAATCTGGCAGGCAAAGTACTAGGAAAATTTCATAAAAGTAGAATAGATTATAAGCTTGACAAAGTCCACAGCGGTTACTTTATGACTACTACATTGTTCACCGATTTCCACAAAAAACAACTAAACATTTTATAGAATCTGTGAAAGAACTATTACAGTTATTCCTCGATTTGATTCAGATCTTTTTCTTAGCGTTCTTGTTAAAGATTCAGGTGTGTTTATCCATCAATGAGTGATTACTGCTTATCTTTCTATCAAGATTTAAACATATATCTATTATTTCAAACCATGGAAAGTGCCACACATATTATGGAACGAACATAAGTTGCCAAATTCGAGCTCAAATATTAATGAAGTTTCAAGAGCATAATGTCGATTCGAAAATAAATGAAAAAAAATCGAACCAGCCATGTCCTATTAGAATAGCTAAAAAGTCAAAGATAAAATTTTATCTAAATTATAACTATAATTCAAACGATGGCTAGAAATTGTTGTTCTACTGCTAGATTTATCTCGATTCTACTGACTATTACATCGAATTAAAATAGAGGAAAATATTTTCAGGTTACTGTTATCCGTAAGTAAATTTAATTAATTATTGTTTCTCGTAAACGGTGGGTGCTGGTGTGGGTGGATTCTAAGAAGAACAACGATCACTCACACCCACATTCACACCCTGTTGTCGAATGAAAAATTCAATGTAATTATTCGCTTGAATAACTCCTCGTGTAAGCATCACTAAAAAGGACATTAAACAAACCACCCGCATCCATCAAGTACTGACTTTTGAAATTTGAATACTGTCAAACTATTACATATCAATGCAAACACATAATAATATGTCACTTCCTTTCAAAAATCATGCACATTAATTCTATGGTATTTTTTCCTTCGATTGCCCAAAGCAACACGTGAAAACTCTATAACAATGCTTTTTCTTCGACGTGTGCGAGAAAGTATTTACACATGAATCATCTCTTGTAGGCTTTTTTTTTCACACAGCTTGCTGCTTTTTTCTTTGATGTTTATTCGTACTGTTCTCAGATGCTTTTTTGATCATGACGCGTACAGTCTGCTTTTTCGACTTTCTCCCTGTCGAAATTCTGCATATGATTTTTAACTACTATTTAGCTCATGAAATTCTCATATCATTTTCAAATACGAGCGATTATGTTGATAGTGTATTGCTGTCATATGCAGCATACAAAATTAATTTCAAATCCATTTCCAAATCTCACTTTGATCTCGTCTGTCATCGAATTCAACCGTCGCAAGTCATGGCACTGACACTTTCCGATGCCGATGATACACCTGGTCAATCGAAATTATTTTTATCACATTTTCATATGAAAAAATTAAGTCAACTTCAATCATTAACGTTGATCGACATTGAATTTGACTCATTAAATTTGATCTTTTCAAATTTGCATCATCTTGAACGACTAGAAGCATTTGGATATGATTCGAAGATCACAAAAGCGTATTGTCCGATATGGGATCACAATTATTCAAATTGGATCAGTCGATCATGTAGTAACTCATCAAAAGATATTATTCAAGTAACGCCTCAATTGAAACGATTACGCCTTTCCAGTTATAAAATTGTGCCAAAAATGCTGTTACCATGTTTGCATCATTTAAAAATAGGAACAACAACCATCGATGAATTTCGAATGGTTCTTTCTCAAACACCAAATCTACACTCGCTCAACATTTCTATTAAAGATGATGCCTCACAGAAAAAACAATTTTTATTATCATCTCACTTGGCACTGAAACGACTTACTCTACAAATTTATAGTAAGTAAAATTGTATTCGTGAAAATCAAAGTTGAAATATGATGTGAATAATCGGTGTTATATTTGTATTGATAATTCACAGATTCGCAAGTTTCAATGAATCAAGTTGAACAACTATTGCTGAATCTAGTTCATTTAACATATTTCGAATTCAATGCAACTGGTCACAGATATTTAGCTAATGGCAATCGTTGGCTAATTGTGGCGAATAGTCTTACTATGTTGAACTTTAAGTTGAAAATTGTCGAGACATTGATCAAGGAGATGCTCGAAACTTTTCATACTTCATTTTGGATCGTTGAGAGACGCTGGTATGTGGCTTACGAGAAATTTTATTTATTTACAATACCTTACTTTGCACCAATGCAGATCAGCTTCAATGAGCTTGAAGAACAAGTTCCTTGGACAACATCAAACCGAAAAATGTTCTATAAGCAGGTGACCAAAATCAACCTTACTATGGCATCTTCCGATGCTATACCGAATAACAGATTTCATGTTGTTTCGGGATTTCATGATAATTATGACAAGATACTAGAGACTATAGAGATGAGGATCAATCTATCTCAAATAAAAGCAATCACTTTGCTGACATTAGCAGATGTACGCAAGTTAAAATTGTACTTTCCTGAAATGTCTCATCTCCATCAATTGGCTATTCAGCAACAGATTGACATGTATATGGCTGACGAATATCAAAATTTTCGAATCGAACAAATTCGCACACTAGAAATTCGGCTCTCGACTGAAGGCACAGACTACACAATCGAAATATTGTTACGACTTTTCCCAAATGTAGAGCATTTAAATGTTTCATCCATCAACTCAAAACGGAATATAGTGCGTTTTATTGATGGATTCAATTTTTTGTCCAGTGCATCATTTACGACTGATAGTAAGTTCGGTCACATCGATCAACGTTGGTATTTTGAACCAGAACTGTTGATGCATGATTCACGGCGTTTGGCAGAAAATACTTATACATGTCGATTGAATCATCTGGTCGACGAACCATCGTCTATCACTATCCAGGTATGGATTGAGTTGCAAGTAAGTTTTTGGTTTACATAGTAAAAATTTCTAGTTTCATTTATTGTTGTATCATAACATAGTTGCGACACTCGTTCTGGACTAGCGAATGGCTACCAAGACGAGACTATGTTTGGTATCGATTGAAGTACATTGCCGTTCAACGCCCTGGAGGCTTGTATGACGTTACTGCTCTCCAGGCACACATTATTCTATTCGTTGCTAAGCTTGTTATAGCTTGGATCTTCCGTATCATTGGTTTCGTTTTAGGTCGATCGTTCTATATTGATTTTATTCTCTATTGGATCTGTTTGTTTTTTAATATTCTTGCTTTGTCTTATTTAAGTCCACGACTGAAAAACTTATATAAGCTCCTAGCTCTTATACATACTATAGTTATGATGATCGATCCGTTTTCCCTTGTGCAGATCGTTTTTTTGCTTCTTTATATCTTTTTGTATAGACTAGGCGCCTTTTTTAATTAACACGAATTAAACGAACCTAAACGATATTCAGTCTGTTAGTATCAATGCGAATTCTTTTTTCAACAAGCATAGCCTATAACATTGGTGATCGAGGTGTGAGTGTGGATGAATGTGGGTGTGGTTCTTCTTTTCATCCATACCAAAATCGTACACTTTATTCAAATTAAAATGAAAATTATAGGCATCTATTTCTCGAAAGAGAATACTTTTATTAAGAGAAATACAGAAATAGTAGAAAAGTGTGTTTTAATCGCTTGATTCGACCATCAGAACATCAATTATATACATGTCATCGATAAAAGAATTCAATTCTTCAATGGTTTTCTATTATCTGAAGTGCTGTTCTTTTCTTTTTCTTCTATTCTACTCTATCTTCCTTTGAAAAGCTTGACGTGAAGTGGCGAGATGATAGGGTGTGAGTGTGGGTGTTTAGCTTCACTTAACCCTTTGAGTCCGGGTGTCCTAGATATAGGACGCAGCTTTGTATAATTATATAATATTTATAAATACAAAAATTTACAATAAAAAATGTTTTTTTTAACACAAAATTTAAAAAAAACGACTAAAATAGATAAAATACGTTGTAAATTAAGTAAAAAAAAATGTATTGTATAATAGTACCCTCTATTTATAAATATTTAAACTGCGTCCTATATATAGGACACCCGGACTCAAATGGTTAATCTACACCCACACCCACACCCATCCACACACTCATCCACACCCACACCCACAGTCATCCACACCCACACCCACACTCATCCACACCCACACCCACACTCATCCACACTCACACCCACACTCATCCACACCCACACCCACACTCATTCACACCCACATCCACACTCATCCACGCCCACACTCATCCACACTCACACTCA